ACCTCATCGGGTCCCCTCCTGCTCTGGGAGCTATTCTGTTCTTGCAATAAATCCTGCTTTCAAAAACATAAAATAAAAATAAGCAAAAAGCGCCTGAGATCTGGAAACCAGGCATCTATCTCAGCCCTTGCTCAGCACCATCCCAGCCCCTCACACTTTCATTTATTGTTCAGTGGTGCTTTTGCTTGATTCTGCCTAGAACTCTCCCTATCCTATAAATGCCCTGGAGGTTAAGGATAGTATTTTGTTCATCTGTATAGTAATCCCCACAGTCCCTGTTGTTTTAAGTTGCCCTCAAGTAGAAATGCAATTAAATAGAACTTTTCCGAAGGAAAGAGACCCACGTATTATCTCGTCTGGAGGGCGGAGATGCAGTCATGCCCAGAGCTGAGAGATGGGTTCTATCAATGGTTTCCTGTGGCTGAAGTTGACTGTTCTCTCCTGGTCCTGAAAGCTACTGGCCCGGTTTAGGAAAAGGCCCATTTGGTTGTGGAAGAGATGCTTAGTGCTGCCAGGTGAGCTGAGTCCTCCCTCGGCCCATGTGTCCTGTACAACGTGAGACCAGCACTCTGCACCCCGCTCGGCAGCCCCCAGGGAGCAGAGTGCTAAACTGCAAGGAAGAGCAGGACACAGCTCAAATGTCCCTCTTGTTTTAAAGCCCTGCCCATTGCGCTGGGTCCAGACGCGGCACATTCTGAGCCATGTGTCTGCTCAAGGCGTGTTCGGATGGGCGGCAGTGGACACTCTGCAGACACATTCAGAGCTGTTTCCCGGCCATTGCAGTACCGTCCCGTGACCGGTCTCAGCACAGTCACGACTTTGTCATGGCATTCCTGTGGCTTCTGGAATACGAACTTGGCTCTGTGTCTGCTTCGCGAATGCCCCCTCTTAAAGATTCCATCTGCCTCTTGTGGAAAAGCTCTCGATGCTTTCTTCTGGTGCCATGCCTTAGCCCCTCCCATTCGGGTGACCAAGCCCATGCAAGGAAGCTTCTGGCAACACATGATACTTTATCCCGCTGGACACCTGGAGCTGGTGACTGCAACTCTTAGATGGAAGCCAAATTCGACTTGGGAGAAAGGCATGGGTTGCAGTGTTTCTTGGCCCCTCTGCAGATGACTGTCATGGGTGTTGAAGCCACGGTAGCATACTCAGTGTCATCTCTGTCCCCAGCCACTCAAATGGACCATTCCATAAACCAGGCTCTTGTCAGGACCTTCCTGTGGCAACTCTGGGTTCCCAAAGTGAAACTTTTCAAAAGCCAGTGGCATCCAGGACCAGGGGAGAACAGAACAGTCACCTTTCTAGAGTCCCAGAACTTGGTGCTAAGAGAAACCACAGGAAGCTCTTTCTAGCAGGGGTCCTCAACCGGTACCAGTCCATGGCCTGTTAGGAACTGGGTTGCACAGCAGGAGGTGAGTGGCCTGTAAGCAGAGCTCCGTCTACTGTCAGATCAGTGGTGGCATTAGATTCTCATGGGAGCAGAAACCCTATTGTGAACTGTGCAATAGGCTGCAAGCTCCTTATGAGAATTTAATTCCTTATGATCCCTCTCCACCTTCATCTGGGGAAAAAATGTCTTCCATGAAACCAGTCCCTGATGTCAAAAAGGTTGGGGACCACTGGTTTATGGTACTCCTTCCTCAGCTTTTAGAGTTCCACATGGTTATGGCCAAACTGAGCAGGGGCTGCACACACTGTTCCTGTCCATGTCCTCCTGGCTTGTTATTCCTCTGTGTTGACTGTGGCTCTGAGTTCTCCAATGTGGGTGCAGAGCTCACACCAGAGAGCCTGGCCCCTATGGGAACCTCTAGCACAGGCATGTGTCGGTTTGAAAATATTCCTGTTTCCTTTTCTCTGCCGTGAGCTGTAAAATGATGAGACACATTCATTCCTTGATCCTCAGACTTGTATTTGACTGTTAATAGCAGATTCCGTTCATGGTGGATTCGTTGAGAATGGCAGCCCTAATTACATCGCTGTGCCACCTGCCAGAGACCGCCAGAAGCCTTGCTCTTACATCCCATGGAGGAGAGGCCGGGCACGATGGCTCACACCTGTAATCTCAGCACTTTGGGAGGCCGAGGCGGGAGAAATACTTGAGCCCAGGAGTTCAAGATTAGCCTAGGCAACATAGCGAGACCTCATTTCTACAAAAAATTTTAAAAATCAGCCAGGATGGCGGTATGCACCAATAATCCCAGCTATGTGGGAGACTGAAGTGGAAGGATCTCCTAAGGCCAGGTGGTTGAGGCTGCAGCTAGCTGTGATCGGGCCACTACACTCCAGCCTGGGTGACAGAGTGAGACCCCGACTCAAAAAAAAAAAAAAAATCCCATGGATGGGCTGCAGTCTAGTGCTTGTTCTGTCAAACTCACTGGGCTCATTTGTGACCAGCTCTACATGTTATAAAGACCTAACAGGACACACGTGTCTATTATCACCTTGCTGCTATCATTTTTTCTACTTTCTTTTTTCCTTGACTCAACTTCCATATCCATTTATCTACATACGATGTATCTTTTTTTTTCTTTCATATGTTGGGAGCACTCACGTTCATTGAAGATAATTAGGAAATTCAGATAAGCAAAAAAATTTGTTTTTTTCCTTTTTGTTCAATATGCCACTACTAAGAGAAAACTATTCATGAACACCTTGGGATAATTCCATTCCAAGTTTGTTTTATGCACTTTTTTTTTGAGTTGGAGTCTTATTCCGTCACCCAGACTGGAGTGCAGTGGCAAACTTCCAGCCACGGCAGCCTCAACCTGCTGGGCTCAGGCGATCCTCCTGCATTAGCCTTCCAAGTAGCTGGAACTACAGGCAAGCGCTACTGTGCCGGCTCTTTTTGATTTATTGTAGAGACGAGGTCTCGCCAAGTTGCCGGGTAGTCTTGAACCCGCGGGCTCAGGCAATTCACTTGCCCCAGCCTCCCAAAGTGCGGGATTACAGGCTGAGCCACTGAGCCTGGCCTTTACGCACATTTTTAAGCTTGCATTTTCACTTAATGATATTTAGGAATAGCTTTTGTGTCTAGAAAAATTGATCAACCCTGGACAGCTGGATGGAAGTGTTATAATTTCTTTAACCAGGCTCATGTCTCTGGGCATTTTGTTTATTTCTTATTTTTCACTTTTGGAAACGTTGTTACAGTGAATGTTTTTGTGGCTAAATATTTGCTCACATTCTCAATTGTTTTCTTAGGGTAAATGCCTAAAAGTGGAACGGCTGGGTCAAAATAATAAACATATATTGTTTTTAACTTTGTACTGTGAAAACTTTAAAAATAAACAAAACTTAGGAGACCAGATTGAACCCTTAGCTACCTGTTCAACAATGCCCAGCTCTAGGCCAATGTTTGGTCTAGACTCCCACCCACTTCCCCCAATTTCTGCATGATTTAAAAGCAGATCCAAGACATTATGCTAGAAAAAGAGTTTATGCTGTGTCCTGCCCCGTCCCACCCCTGAGGCAATGAGCACTGGCCACTTGAAAATGGGAGAGGAAAACAAGTGAACTACTGGGAACAAAAAGGTTACCATCGTGTCAGCATGATCCTGGGTGGTGTTGGGCTGTTCCCATCTTCCCAACTTTCCACAGGGAAAGTCATAAAGAAGAGATACACATGTTCAATGAGTGAACTGGGGGGAACTTCATTTATAATCAAGTACATTCTAATTAAAACAGTGAGATTCTTGGAGGGAAGGGGGTTCTAAAAATAATTAACAAAGGTGAAGGAAGGAAGAAGAAGAAAGAAAGAAAGAAAAAGAAAGAAAGAAAGTCTAGCCAGGCTAGGTGGCTCAGCCTGTAATCCCGTGCCTTTGGGAGGCTGAGGTGAGTGGATTGCCTGAGCCCGCGGGTTCGAGACCCGCCTGGGCAGCGAGACCTCATCTCTACAATAAATCAAAAAATCAGCTGGGCGTGGTAGCGCATGCCTGTAAATTCTGGCTACTGGGAAGGCTGAGGCGGAAGGATCGCCGGAGCCCAGCAGGTCGAGGCTGCGGTGGCCGGGAGCGGCCACTGCACTCCAGTCTGGGCGACAGAGTGAGACTCCAACTCAAAAAAAAAGAAAGAAAGAAAAGAGAAAGAAAGAGGGAAGGAGGAAGAAAGTCATAGCTTTAACCAGCACAGGCACTCTTATATGATGCCAGCAGAAGTATAAATTGATCACCCTCTGGATTGCACTGTGACAAGAAGCGACTTAGAAACATCTATGCTGGCCGGGTGCAGTGGCTCACGCCTATAATTCCAGCACTTTGGGAGGCCGAGGTGAGAGGATTGCCTGAGCCCATGGGTTTGGGACTAGCCCGAGCAACTTAGTGAGACGTCAACCCTACAATAAATGAAAAAATTAGCCGGGCATTGTGGTGTATGCCTGTAGTTCCGGTTGCTTGGAAGGCTGAGGCAGAGGGATCGCCTGAGTCCTGCAGGTCGAGGATGAGGCGGCCGTGAGCATACCACTGCACTCCAGCCTGGGCAGCAGAGTAAAACTCCAACTCAAAAAAAATAAAATAAAACCTCGTTCACCCTTTTATGCTAATTTCATAGCATTGTGCATATATCAGTGAATTGCTGTGAATACTTTCTTGGACTAAGATCGCATGTGTGGCATTTATACGATAACGTGTGTTTTATACAGCTAATAGTGCAAAGTAGTGAGTCGAGATTAATAGAGGAACAAGCATGACATCATGCTGCATTGAGGGGGTGGGGAACCTGAATCTGGGGAGGGACCCCGGGGGCATCAAGGACCCTGGCAGGGACAAGAGGGGACTGGTGCGGGTCACCCCATCTCCTTCATCCTCACAGTCGGGCCCAGCACAGGGAGGCAGGTATCAGTCCCATTTCACGATGACTCCTCCCCCAGTTCATACCTGAATTAGATCTCTCGAGCCCACATAGCACGCTGACTCATATGTTTGTGGAAGGCCAATAAAGCCTTAAAATATCTCAAATATTAGTGATGATGGAAACACTTTTTTTCCCTCAATGTTTCACAGCATGAAGGCCCGGGACCAGGTCATTATAATGTGAAAACACCTTTAACAAGTTCTGTCACTTCCTGTTTTCAATCCAGAGTACCTCGATTCTTGTCCAGCTATTCAGTAAGTATTCTGGAAGACTCCTCCACCCCAGCTGTGGTCATGTGGTAGGTTTTCTGGCTCTGTGTGCATGTATGTATATGTGGGTGGGTGGCCATGAGCGGAGCAGGGATGGATTGGGAGAATGACTGTCGTATAAAGTTGCTGGCCAAGGCAATGAGTGAAGAACCCAAACACCTGGACGTCCTAGGTCAGCACCATGCTCAGAGTGACTCCAGGCTCGAACACAGCTATAATACATCACGGGTCCACTTGAAAGCAGCTGCCAGTGTTACGACCTGGTTGCTTTACTTGGGGACACCCTTACTGAACTGAGGCAAACGTGCGGGGCTGCCTCCAGCCAGCCAGCACGACCGTGTGTGTGTGTGTGTGTGTGTGTGTGTGTGTGTGTGTGTGTCTTCGTGTGTGTGTTTTCTGGGAGCCCAAGGAAGCAAAGAGTTGAAGCAAAAACATTAATTTTTTAATTTTTAATTTTTTTTTTCTAGTCGGAGCCTCACTCTGTCACCCAGACTGGAGTGCAGTGACCGCTCCCGGCCACTGCAGCCTCGACCTGCTGGGCTCCGGCGATCCTTCCGCCTCAGCCTTCCAAGTAGCTGGAACTACAGGTGTGCGCTACCATGCCCAGCTAATTTTTGATGAATTGTAGAGATGAGGTCTCGCCAAGTTGCCCAGGTGGGTCTTGAACCCACGGGCTCAGGCAATCCATTCACCTCGGCCTCCCAAAGCGCGGGATTACAGGCTGAGCCCCCGAGCCCGGCTAGCAAAAACATTTATATTGAACCAAATGGGACCACAAAGGCCTAAGCAATCACCCTGCCCCCAAATTCTCAGGATAGAAGTCAAGTTCAAGTCCATAGAGAGAGAAAAAGGAAGTGAATTGTGGGAGTGTGCAGAGTGCCTCAAAAGCTTGGAGAAGACTAGGAGAGATTACAAGCATGGCATGGAGCTTACCAACAGGGACTTTCTTTTTTTAATGCAAAATGACAGTTTTAATAGACATGGTCTTCTTGCTTCCAGCCTGCACTTCAGTCTGAAAGTCCCCAAGACTCTTTTGGGTTGGTTGGGGAGACGGAAATACACATTCTGCCTATAAGAAAATGGGGCCAGCGCTTTGGGAGGCCAGGGAAGGAGGATCGCTTGAGCCCAAGAGTTTCAGACATAAATCAAAATTTCTCTACAAAAAAATCAAAAATTACCAGGCGTGGTGGCACGTGCCTGTAGTCTCAGCTACTTGAGAGGCTGAGGCAGTAGGATCATCTGAGCTTAGGCGGTCGAGGCTGTGGTGAGCCATGATTGTGTCATTAGACTCTAGCCTGGGTGACAGAATGAGACCCAACTCAAGAAAGGAAGAAAAGGCAGAAAGAAAATGGCCCCCCACCCCAGGGCAGTCAAGAGGGTGGGGGATCGGGTGGGAGAGGGCTGGTATTGCCACTGCCTGGGCTGCAAATCATTCCCCCCAGCTTCACCTGGCCCTTGCCCCGGGATTGAGGCCTGCAGTTCTGCTGCAGAGCCATGGGCTACGGTGTGGGGGGTAGTGCAGCCTTTACCTGGAGGAATACCGGGGAGGCCCTGCCAGGAAAGTTGCAGACACACTGAGGCATCCTCACACCTTAGTGACATCACCACGATCCAGAAGCAGATGTCTGTCAGAACCCACAGGACAGAGTGTCCTCGGGAAGACTGAGTCATGTTAACCAAACTCCCAGGTAACTAAGCGAGAAGCCAGAAGGTACAGTGTTAACTTATAAGTGTCCACCATGGGGACCTGGTGACTCAGGCCGCTGCTCCGTGGACTTTCTCCTGCATAGGAAATCTTCATGGAAGCTGAGGACAACGACAAGGTCACTTGGTGGCAGTGAAATCAGGGCTGGGGAACCAAGCTGGATGTTTACAAAGTGGCTGAACCACCACCGGTAGCCTCCTGGGGGGTGGCCTGGTGGGCCATGGCCCCCTGAGTCTTCTGTTCTGTGGTCTGGTCTTCCAGGACTCCTCACAGACAGCACTAATAAAAGCCGCAGCTTCCTTTGACATTTGGTCAGGACTTGATTAGATTTTCAGTTTGCTGTCTGCTTTTAGCCGAGGAAACATCCTGTCATTTATTTATTTATTTGTTTGTTTATTTATTTATTTATTTTTGAGTTGGAGTCTCTCTTAGTCGCCCAGACTGGAGTGCAGTGGCCGCTCCCGGCCATCGCAGCCTCGACCTGCTGGGCTCCAGCGATCCTTCCACCTCAGCTTTCCAAGTAGCTAGAACTATAGGCGTGCGCTACCACGCCCAACTAATTTTTGATTTATTGTAGAGATGAGGTCTCGCCAAGTTGCCCAGGCGGGTCTCGAACCCGCGGGCTCAGGCAATCCACTCACCTCAGCCTCCCAAAGGCGCGGGATTACAGGCTGAGCCACCGAGCCCGGCTCATCCTGTCATTTATAGTGGCTTCTGCAGGCAGCTGATCTCATCCCCTCTGGCTGACCACCCGTTCTACTCTCGGGGTAACCCTAGTTCTGCTCTCGCTGTCTTCTGAAGTGATAACCGCCAGGAGGGGTGGACATGGCAAGCAGGTGATATCAGTCACTAGGAACAGTGGTGGGAGCTGATGTGTGAACTACTTGAGGATGGCCAGGTGGACGCTGACCGTCCCAGAGAGACCCCAGTGAGCCCCGTCGTTCCCTAGAGGCATGTATGTGCCCCGTGGATGGGCCAGGCATGGGAAGCCCATGCCCAGGGTCACACGTCGCCACTGGTTGTGGGACTAGGACTCGAACACCTGTTGGACCCCAAAACCCTGGTCCGCAATCACTACACTGTTGTCTCTCCAACAGACCCAAGGGAAACATCCCTTTGGGTTTCAAAAATATGGTCATGTATGCCCAACACGGGAAACACTGACCTAAGGCACTGAAGCCTCTGTCTGTGAAAATGGCATTTAGTTGCATTTTATCACATGGAAGAGAAACTTTAAGTAATTGGCAGAATAACTTTTTCAACAATTTCATCAAAATGAAGACACAATTTTATTTTTTTTAAGTAGGGGTCTCATTCTGTCACCCAGGCTGGAGTGCAGTGGCACGCTCACAGCCACCTCAATCTCGATCTATTGTGCTCAGGCGATACTTCCGCCTCAGCCTTTCAAGTAGCTGGAATTACAGGCACGTGCCACCACTCCCAGATAATTTTTTGATTTATTATAGAGATGCAGTCTCGCCATGTTACCCAGGCTGATCTCGAACCGGTGGGCTCAGGCAATCCTCTTGCCTCCACCTCCCAAAGTGATGGAATTACAGGTGTGAGCCACCATGCCTGGCAACACAACTTTTAAAAATTAGAACTAGTGGATCCTTGGAGAATACTTCTGACCTGGGGTCCATGGACTCTGGTTGAGAAACACCTTGCTGTAAACTCCAGGTTAGCGACAGAAACACACCAGCATTGGGAGAGCCACTGGGCGTCTGAGTTAGAACCTCCGGTTCAGAAGTCGTTCTCTCCACCTGCTGCCCACCAGGCTGAGGTCACTAGGGATGACAAAAATAGCATGTTCTATCCCCCTGGGCTGGGAATTGCCTGGGTGGAGGGCCTGCTGGGAAAGCGTGCTTTGAGGTGCAGATAGATGTGACCCCACCTCCCCCAGCAGGTGGCCCCTGGTCTGGCCATCTCTCAGCCCCCCTCTTGCCCCTTAATCAGTACACGCTCGGATTAAGGGTCCGCCAGGCCCCAGCCCGGGCCGGTGTGGCTCTTGTCTTCCATGGAGAAATTTGTCCAGAACATCCAAGCCAGCAGCCACGCACAAGAGGCTCTGGGTTTGGTGTCACCATCTCGTCAGTCTCCGTTTTCTGTTCTGTTTTCAGAAAACCCCAGGCCCAGGAGCATATACGTCTTCAGAGCAGTTCCCGAAGCAGTCTCCAACCGTCGCCAGGATGGGCCGAGAACACAGCCTTTTCTTCAACAACACCATCGGCTTTTAAAATAAAGCAGTCTTGGCACAATCTCTGCTTCGAGGTTTAGCAAGTTCTTATGTTTAGAAAACTGTATTGGGACCAGGCGTGGTGGCTCACGCCTATAATCCCAGCACCTTGGGAGGTCTGAGCCTACGGGTTCGAGACCAGCCTGGGCAACATGGCGAGACCTTGTCTTTACAATAAATTTTTGAAAAATAAGCCGGGCTCGGTGGCTCAGCCTGTGATCCCGCGCCTTTGGGAGGGTGAGGTGAGTGGATTGCCTGAGCCCATGGGTTCGAGACCCGCCTGGGCAACTTGGTGAGACCTCATCTCTACAATAAATCAAAAATTAGCTGGGCGTGGTAGCACGCGCCTGTAGTTCCAGCTACTTGGAAGGCTGAGGCGGAAGGATCACCGGAGCCCAGCAGGTCGAGGCTGTGGTAGCTGGGAGCGGCCACTGCACTCCAGTCTGGGTGACAGAGTGAGATTCCAACTCAAAAAAAAAATTTTTTTTTTTAATTAGCTGGGCGTGGTGGTGTGTGCCTTAGTCCCAACTACTTGGAAGGCTGAGGCGGAAGGATCGCCGGAGCCCAGCAGGTCGAGGCTGTGGTGGCCGCGAGCATGCCACTGCACTCCAGCCTGGGTGACAGAGTGAGACTCTGACTCAAAACAAGAAACAAAACTGTATTTGGTCTATTCCTTAGGGGGAGTTGGCCACAGAACATGATCGGTTGCCCAGGGACCATCCTGCATATCTGGAAGAGTCCCAGCATGATTACCCAGTCACCTTCAAAAGTGTCCTGGTTTGAGCGATATGTTATCCTCTCACTCTGCTTCTTACCAAGGAGCATACCCCGAGTGACTGCGCCCCTGGGCTGCTCTTGCAGCAGCCGGGACAGGCCCTGAGAGGACGGGGCTGTGCTCTGCGTGGCCTTGGTCTCTCTGGCTGGATCTCAACTGCAAGGGTTGTGAGACCTCCCGGGCCTCCTGCAGACTTCCTTGGGTGGTCGGCATTAAACCCAGGCCAAGCTGGGCTTGACGGGATCCCAGCAAGTGGTTCTTTCTCTCTTTCCACCCCCTGAAAAGAACAATATTGATTCAACCCTGTAAGTATTCGTGGCTTCAAGTCAATGACACAGTTTAGTGTAGCTGCTATTCACAAGGTGCAGCGCTGAGGCTGGGACATGGGGGGCCTTGAAACAAAGAGCAACAAGGTATGTGACTGAGTTGGGGAGGGTTGTAGGGGAAGACAGGGCCAGAAAGGGAGCACGGGGTAGTCCTGGCAGAAAAGACCGTTCAAGCCGTGCCAACACACTCCTGCACGTGGCCCTGTGTTTGTCCTCGCGGGATGGCAGTTCCAACAGGAAGAGGAGCGCTCATCTCAGGAAGCTGCCAAATCATTGCACCAGGTGCACAGAGGGGCGATTGTGACAAGGAAGGCCATGGCGTTCAGAGGAGGGAGGGGGAGGAGCCTGGGAGGTGGGGGATGCCTGGCACCCCAAGGGTTGGGGCCAAGGAACCTTATCTGGGCGAATACCCAAGGCACGGATAAGCATTTGCTGGAGGATTAGAGGAAGCCTGGACCTCAGAGTAAGAAGGGGTGAGTGAGGGCGTGATGGGGGCGGGTCCTCAGAAGACTGGGCCCACGGGCTTTCAGCTCTAGCTAGGCGGGTCCTATGTGTGAGAGCCGGGTCCTATGCGTGACAGCCGGGTCCTATGCGTGACAGCCAGCGTCTCAGCCAAGGCTGGGTGATTCCAGCGTCCTCAATAAATAATTGGAAGAAGTCTTTTTAAATTAATAAAAATGTTTATCTTTGGTTATATTTTAAAAGGAGGAAAAAAACACCTCTTTTTTTCTAGACTGAGAAGCCCTTTTTTTTTTTTTTTTTTTTGAGTTGGAGTCTCACTCTGTCGCCCAGGCTGGAGTGCAGTGGCACGCTCACGGCCATGGCGGACTCGACCTGCTCGGCTCAGGTGATCCTTCTGCCTCAGCCTTCCAAGTAGCTGGGACCACAGGCGTGCGCCACCATGCCCAGCTAATTTTTTTTTTTAATTGTACGGATGAGGTCTCGCCATGTTGCCCAGACTGGTCTGGAACCCATAGGCTCAGGCAATCCTCTTGCCTCAGCCTCCCAAGGTACTGAGATTACAGACTTGAGCCACCGTGCCCGGTGAGATGCCCTTCTAGAATGGGTGTTGGGGCAAGGAAGGGAAGGCTCTTGTTTCCCAAATCTATACACATTCATGGGAGAAACTCCCTGCGCTGGGTTCCTTTGGAGCAGAAAACAGACACTGGGCAGATCACACTGAAGTCTCGGGGTCGCGTCTCTTGTCCTACTTTGATCAGAAGATGATTGCAGGGCAGATGGTTTCAAATTTTATCCTCCAAGTGGGTTAAAGTTCCCTGCACGATCAGAACACAGTGGTTGGCAGTTCTGATGGAGGGTGTTTGCTCTAGGAAGCCGCGTCTCAGTGAGCACCTGGCATTCAGGGAAATGGTTCTAGAATGATTGAGAGAGGAGGAGGAGATGGTCATGTGTGTCTTTTGTTTTTTTGGACACAGGGTCTCATTCTGGCACCCAGGCTGGAGTACAGTGGCACGATCCCAGCTCACTGCAGCCTTGACTCCCTGGGTTCAAGCGAGCCTCCTACCTTGGCCTCTCAAAGTGCTGGGATTACAGGCGTGAGCCACTGTGCCCGGCTTGTCATGTGGGTTTTAGTCAAGGCTCATCCATGGAAAGTTAGAGGAAGCCCTCAAACTAACAAGGGGAAGAGAGGGCTTCTGTTGTAAGGATGTAGCAATATCTTACTGACAAAAGTGTGAACCAGGAGCTGGCAGAAACGAAGTCACTCTCTAACACACTCTCTCTCCCTCCCCCCTTATAATCCCTCTCCCTCTCTCTCCCTTCTTCCCTCTCTCTTTATTCCTCCCTCCTTCCCTCCCTTCTCTCTCTCCCCCGTGTGTGTCTCTCTCCTCCACCCTCAGGTCTGTTTTTCTTCTTCCTCAGAAGACTGACTGTCCCTGCCTCTTTACGTGGATAGAATCAAGTATGTCCACCTCAGCTCCTCACATCGTTTCCTGAGTCAACACCCTAAAAAGATGTAGCCGGCACCTCCTTGGTTCAAGCCCAGTTCCTAGGAGAGAGAATCCAGTTGGCCAGCTTGGGCCAGGGGTCTACCCTTGGGCCATCAGCTGTAGCCAGGAGGGCCTAGACCTTCAGTACAGACATACTGTAGGGCTCAGCTCTGTGGGGGGTGTGTGATTGGGGTGGAGGACAGCTCCTCAGTGTCCTAGAAGAGGCAGAAAAAGATGGGGAGGGCGTCCTGGCCAGCCTGCAGGAAGGGGACGTGGGAGCCTGCTGAAGCTGCACCTTGAGGTGGAATCACTGGAGAACATTCTGCAGGGTCCTCTGGACTGCCTTGCGTTCCGTGTCTACGGGGCATTCACAGGGCTCTGCCTTTGGCTCTGTGACTGGGGACTGGGCTTCCTTTCTGGAGCTGGGAGTGCCTAGACTTGACCTGTTTTTCTTGCCAGTCTTGCCCTTGCCCTCTTTTGTGATTTCGGATGATATGACAGAGGCTCTGCCCTAGTGCTAGCAGAGGTGCTGGCGGGAGCTAGGTGGCCCTCTGAATGAGTGTCAGGTGGCGTCTCAGTGCAGTTTTGATGTTCGTTTCCCTGGTGACTAGTGAGGTTGAACATCTTTTCAAGGTCTTATTGGTCCTTTGTCTATCTTTGGGGAAATGTCTCTTCAAGTTCTTTGCCCACTTCTGTTTTTTCTTTTCTTTTTTCCGTGTCAGACGGGTAATGTGCAGACGTCATAACAGGGTTAGAGGGAGGCACATCTCACACATGCGTGTGAAACCTCAGCCATTGGGCTTATGACCTACAAAAGAGCCTTGGCCCAATGAATTGGGTTTGTGTTGTTGTTGAGTTTTAGAAGTTTTAAAAATATATTCTGGATATGAATCTTTTTTTTTTTTGAGTTGGAGTCTCACTCTGTCACCTAGGCTGGAGTGCAGTGGCGCCCTCACAGCCACCCCAGCCTTGACCTGCTGGGCTCAGGCGATCCTTCCACCTCAGCCTTCTGAGTAGCCGGGAACTACAGGTGTGCGCCACCATGCTCAGCTAAATTTTTGATTTATTGTAGAGAGGAGGTCTCGCCAAGTTGCCTGGGCTGGTCTCGAATCTGTGGGCCTAGGCAATCTACTTGCTTTGGCCTCCCAAAGTGCTGGGATTACAGGCTGAGTCACCAAGCCTGGCCTGGATTTGAATCTCTTATCAGATGAATGGTTTGTAAATATTTTCTCCTATTCTATAGGTTGCCTTTTCTCCTCTGTCGATAATGTCTTTACTTCTTCCTCAGAAAGCTGAATCTCACTGCCTCTTTATATGTGTAGGATCAAATGTGTCTAAAAATTTCATGAATGACGTGGGCAACGTGGCGAGACCACGTCTCTACAATAAATCAAAACATTAGCTGGGTGTGGTGGCACATGTCTGTGGCTCCAGCTACTTGGAGGGCTGAGGTGGAAGGATCTCCTTAGCCCAGCAGATCGAGGCTGCGGTGGCCATGAGTGTGCCACTGCATCCAGCCTGGGTGACAGAGTGAGACTCCGATACAAATAAAATAAAATTTTCATGAATGCCAATTTGTCTATTTTTTCTTTTGCTGCCTGGGCTTTTGTTGTTATACCCAAGAAATCACTGCCAAATCCCAAGGTGCAAAGATTTTGCCCTATGTTTTCTTCTAATGGCTTTATTGTTTTAGGTTTCATTTAGGCCTTTGATTCATTTTGTATTAGTTTTTGCATAGGTTTGTATATTTGTGTCAGCTAAGGGCCCAACTTCATCCATTTGCATGTGAAGATTCAGTTTTCCCAGCACCATTTATTGAAAAAACAAAACAAAACTGTCCTTTCCCCATTTAAATGGTCTCAGCACCCTTTTGAAAAATCATTTGACCATACAGGTGAGGATTTATTTCTGGAATTTTTATTCTATTCCATTGGTCTACATGTCTGTCTTTATGCCAGTACCATACTGTT